GGAACCGGAGGACGTCTTCTGAACGTAATGAAGTGCCTTGTGGGCTCTGGCCACCCGCTTAGGTGAGCGTTTCTGCGATTTTTCAAAATTTAGTCCTCTAATTCAACTTTTGATGTGCCTAATTTTAAAACGGGCTTCAACATAATTGCAAAGTGTCTCCAGCTGTTAGCTGTTTCAAATGTTAAACTTGGATGGATGTAACCTTCAGTATTATATATTTTTTTAAATAGTACTCATAATTATGTGACGTGTGCTTGTAGCAGGTGATTGGCAGTGTTTTACATGACAGTAAAGTATTACGGAAAATATGACTGCATCATTTATCTCACTGTGATTATTATCTTGTGGAGTATGAACTGGTAATTCCTGATAGCAATCTTGACTGTTTTCTGGAATAATCTCTCTCTATTGCATTTAAAAACTTCTGTAATGGCTGAAACAGAACAGGGATGTCAGTTGAGTGTGCGATGGATCACAAGGTGGAAACAGACATTGAAACCAGTGGGCCTCACTGAGCAGCCTGAACTTGTTGTGTCAGGCATGCTCTACTCTCCAGTAAGCTCATCCACTGGTCTTTTACTCACCATGTGATTTAATGAGAGGTCTTCACCAACACAGGATATACTGAACCAACGGAAAAGCTTGGATTCTGAAAATTGTTTAGAAACCAGTAGAACGTTTTTGTTTTTTAAATAAATTTTGAGTTTAGTATGCTCAGTTTTTCTGTTTTAGTGTTTTAAATAGGACTTCATAATGTTTTATGGTCATCAGTAATCATAAAAAAAGAAAATCGTACAATGTACTCAAATGCTGTACATTAGAAAACTGCATCAATGAAAGGGTGTTGTGACATTTGATTGCCAACTGACCTGTCAGCTGTGCTAGACCCTAGTCCTGCCTACTAAATGCCTGGCATTTGCTGAGTGAGCTGAAGTAAACAGGCAAAAGTCAAAATCCGCTGTTCTCCCCAAAGATGGCAAGAATGTGCTCAGGCATCAGCTTTTCGCTGTCATATCTACACCTTATACTGGACAGATTGAACGACTAAACCCAGTGAAAGTCTTTCTTGCTTCTATTAGTATTTCCTGCCCTTACTTCCCCTCATTCCCATGGCAACCTCACTGAAAGAGCTTCTGTCATTGTCGGTCTGTTACATCACACAGGAATGGGTGGATGCAGAACCAGTCAGGCTGAGGAGTAGGAGCCGGGGGTGGGGGGGGGTTGTGTGAGGTCATCAGCTATGCTGGGCGGGTGTGAATTATGAATGAAAAGAGAAGCAGAGGCTGCTGTAGATCAGAGAAGCTGTAATTCCTTCTTCACACTTGGCGTCTCCTCCGTCATGCTGGAGATACACTGGCAAGCCCAGCTCAGAAGGTAGAGCAGTCTCGCACACCACCCATACAGCGACACGCGGCTGGTTCACTCAGCGGCCGACGGCTTGTGAACCGTGCCAACCTCTATGACATATTCTCTCCAGAATTAGGAACAAGCTATTATTGAAACTTCAGTATGTTCTGTGCTTTTTCTGCTCTCTTCTTTGGTAGGACACACGTAGCTTCTCTCGTCATTATGCGCAAACATGATCGAACACTGAGCTTCAATAACTGCTCTTTTTAAAAATTTGTTTCCACTTTTCTGTCATTCGTAGTCATGTGTGGCCTGATCTTGTATTTTTACACTGCAGACAGCCCACTCTGTGCGGGTTCTGTGTGTGTACGCATGGTGACAGTGCCACTTTGTCGTATCTTTGTGTCTCACCAGAGTGGGCTTTGACACAATGCTCTTTTTGAGTGTTTAGATCTCAGTCTGTAATTACAGGTTGCTGACGGCACGCCAGAATGACTCAGATGCGCCTCGTCTTACACTTTATCTTCAGTTTGAGGCTGTTTATATCATAATGTTTCTGTTGCAGAGGCTAAATAATGTATAGATATACTGAAGGAACTTGACGAAAGTACACAAACAATCTAATAAATTAAAGCGATACCAGTATAAACATTGTATCCTAAAAAAAATTACAAAAGATATCGGTTAGGGAATCAAAGAATTCAGGTTCCTTAAAGTCTTAAAACATCTCTGGATAGGTTTTCAACAGTGAAGGTGATACCTGGGCTAATAGGCATTAAGTTCTAGGATCGATTCAGTAATCATTCCTATATAACCATAATATTACTTGTTATAATATAATTTATATCATTTATTCTGCGTTTGCAGATCTGCGTTCATCATGTTTCTTACGTATGTTCTGTCCTGGTCCTATATCTGTACTTTTCCCTTTATTCTTGTGAAAAACCTTATGCAGGCCACTGAAATGAGAAAAATGCAGATCAGAGAAATGGTTGGAAATACCTGCTGCACCCGCCGCCAATTCGTGTGAAATGTGCACCTCCCCAAAGACACTATTATACTGAGCAGCTTCCCCAACCCTGCGTCCGTTTTATAATGTTCATCCTGTGGTGTCGCCCGGGAGTAACCAAATACCTGTTTGCACCTGGCGTCTGTAAGAGGCCGCGACTCGGGAACAACGCACCTTCCGGAAGGTCTTATTGTATACATATTCCCCTGTGAATCTCCGGAAAACTCGGAGTATAACCTGGGTGGAACAACCTAAAGAGGTGAGGTGCACCGACTCGCACACACACACACACACACACACACACACACACACACACACACAGGTTGGTCTTCTGTCCATTCACATAGGTTGCGGACCGTCTATTCATTTCTATGGGAAAAACCCTAATCCTAATCACGACACCCTTAACCCCTACCCATCCCTAACCTTAACCATAAGTAACCAACCCAAATACAAGACTTATTGCATTTTTACTTTTTTGATTGCATTCACAGATTTTTATAAAACTGAGGCTATCCAAATGGAGACCTCAAAAGATGCACATGCATATGCTTTGCTGCCATGGTCCACGTGTAATAACTGATCCCAGAATCCTCTGCAGTGTTTCATTCTGTGGTTGCACGCATGTGATTGTGAAGAGTGTAGGTAAGAGAGCAAGGTGGGCTGATGGTCCCCTGTCAGGGGCAGGGTGGGGATGTCTGATGGGGGAGGTACAGTGCTATATCTGCCGAGCTGGGGCTGTAGCTGAATCAAGGGCTGCTGGGATTTACGATAACACAGCAGGATGGTGTTGGTTCGAATCCCAGCAGTCCAAGCTGAGAATTTACTCCTGTTCAGTTGAATGAATGAGTGGGACCTTTAAGTTGCTTGGGATAAAAGTGACAGCAGCACACTGCTGAAAGAATGGATGCTTATGGAATGCAAATGGTATGAATAGCCTGTGCAGCCTATGCTGCAGATGTGTGAGAGATTGACAGGTAAAGAACGAGTGTTCTTAATTCTTTTCAAATGTCTGAATTTTAACTGGTAAGTGAATTTGATGCATTTCATACTGATAAAGAGGTTTTAATTTATAATTTTAAGAGGAAACAAAGGAGTGGTTATGACAGAAAGATGGTTTCACGTCTCTAGTGCCACCCAGCTAGATGGCAGTATGGTGAGTCGGTGTCATGTGACAACAGCTGCTTCCTGCTCACAGAGAGCCCTGACGTGACCAGCGCATCCTGTCAGTTTGTGGTTACTCCACCCCTGGCACGAATAGGTCCACTTACTGGCAAACGCTGACAGTAGAGTGTCACTGTCAGATGCAGTGCATGGTGGCTGTTGCATAATAAGCAAACAATTTGTGCGTGTTAAGGTGAGGACAACGCTTTTGGTACCAATTCAAGCGGAACGACCAGTCTGACAGTCAGCCAAGGTGTGTCACTCACGGTGGTGACTGGCGTCACATGTGCCAGTGGAGTGATAACAAAGAACTTAATGAATGAGAAATGAAGCTGTGGGGGAGAGCATCTGGGTGATAATGGTCTCCTCACTCCCACAGTGCTGCCGGCCTGCTCCATGGACAGACAGCAGAAAGTCAGCCATTTAAAGAGAAAGTCCTCAACTTCCCCTTTTTAGAGGAAATGCAAAAGGGACACTTGTTCCTCTTGCCTAATATATTGTAGTGTGCTGTACTGTAAGAGACTGGGCAATAGCCCAGTCCATCCATCCATCCATCCATCCATCCATCCCATAATGCCTTAGCCAATACGGGGCCACAGTACCATGAGAAGAATAAACATGTTGGGGGTCATTTGTGGCTCAGTGGGTTAGGAGTCGGTGCCCATGATTGGAAGGTCACTGGGTGAAAGGTCATGGTGAGGTCACTGATCTGCCATTGGGCCCCAGAGCAAGAGCAAGGCCCTCAACCTCCAGCTCAAGGGCCACTGCACACTGGCTGACTGCACACTGACTGACTGCACACTGGCTAACTGCACACTGGCTGACTGCACACTGGCTAACTGCACACTGGCTAACTGCACACTGGCTGACTCCTTGCTCTGGCACCCCCACCACCACCCAAAAACCCCCCTTACAAACCTGTCTGTGTGTCTCATGGCGAGAACAAGATGGGGTCGGCAAAAAAAACTATTTCCCCGTGAGGATGAGTGAAGTGTCTCTATTGCATATTGGACTTTATACTTTATACTTTTTACTTTATATTTCTTGGCGGTTTTTTTTCCCGGTTCCTGCTTCCAGTTATAGCCTGCTTTTTATGACACTGTGGACGGCCGCTTAGGGTACGTCGCGTTTATGCTCAGAACTGCCCTTCCTCTGAAGCCCCTTTGAATTTCCATAAAGGTTAAAGCCCTTGAAGTGGATCACCGCTGCCTCAGCCCCCACACTCGTGTCTGACGTAGTAGGCAGCCGTGAGTCTTGCTGTGCCTCTTATCGGTGTTTCACCAAACCCACATGATATATGAAAGCAGAGGAAGGTATAGAGGGCTACGGCTGGCGTGTACCAGCTTGTTTGTGGTCCAGGGTCCATGTGGTCTGTCCTTCGTTGAGTGGGTGAATGGGCACGTGGGTACCTCTCTGGTTGGAAGACATCACTGGACAAAGGCCAGTAGAAGTCACTAAAGGCTCACTCTCCCTCCCAAAGGGTCATGCGGCCCGATGATGCCAACATCGTGGGAAATGTCCATGGAGGAACCATCCTGAAGATGATCGAGGAAGCGGGGGGCATCATTAGCACACGGCACTGCAACACCCAGCCAGGGGTAAGCGATCCTTACCGGGCTTTCTTACTCTGTGAAGGACGACACTGTCAACGTGCAGCCAATCCCACGCGGCACAAGTAAACAAGGAATCAACAGTCATGTCAGGTTTCAGTTACTTTGAAAAACCACAGAGCGCATGACTCAGTGTGAATCCATGTTTAGCTTGGATCTGTGGGTAGGACACGCAGTCATGTTTGAAGATAGTCATCATGAATGCCGCCTTTGGCTGATGCACCTTCTCTTATGCTTCTTATGTATCTTCTCTTATGCTTCTTATGTATCTTCTCTTATGCTTCTTATGTATCTTCTCTTATGCTTCTTGCTTCTCAGAATGACCCTGAATTACTGTGACACGTGTACTGTATGTGAGGACAATTCAGAGGTGTCATTCCACACACCATCGTGGCACTGAACTGTTCTTTTTTGCACCTGTTGCCTTCTTGTTAGCTTTAACGAGTCTAGCCATTCTCCTTTCACCGCTTTTAATAACCAGGTGTTTTTGGTAATTGGACTGAATGCTTTTGGTTTATTGCATCAAGCTCTGTAAACTCTAGACACTGAAATTTGTGAAAATCCCAGAAAGTTCCGGAATGACCATGTCTGGCACCAACAGTCACAACAAGTTCAAAACAGCTTAGTTCATGCATCTTAGCAATTCGAAGCAATACTTAGCCCAGTGTTTCCCAGTCCGGTCCTTGGGTATATACAGTCGGTCCATGTTTTTGCTCCCTCCCAGCTCTCAATAGGGAGCAAAAGCGAGGGCTGTCCGTGGCCCCCGGGGACTAGATGGAGGGAAAACTGTCTTAGCCAAACAGCAAGGGAGCCTGTTGACCCTGTCTGTGTGCTTCATGTGTTCAGCTGCAGCCACATTATTTCCTGTTCGCTTTAAGAAGTAGGTATGCTTAATAAACAGGCCACTGACTGAACATGTACAGTCTTATGTACCTAATCTGCAGCACAGGATGGTACCCAGTGTAGTATATTCTTCATTCTTAAAGATAAAACTTTCACATCATTAACGAGAGCGTGATCATTCCCAGTCCTCCTGTGAGAGGTGCAGCCATTCAAGACAGATCAGGGCCAAATATTTGAGGTGAGACAGAGAATGACATTCATTTTAATGAGGCTATTTGCAGTTTTGTGTGTACAGTGTCCACGAAAAGTCTTGAAATGGCTGCTTAATTCAGTAAAGATGGTGCAAATGTGTTTTTAACAAAAACCATTACTTTATTCATTTGTTTATAAAAAATATATATTATTTACGAGACAACCAGAAGTTTCAAGTAAAACATTAATTTCAAATAGTAATAAATTGAAACCCAAATTATATTTCTAAAAAAGCTATTGTAAGTTAAAAAAGATATTCTTAACAGCAAAAATGCAATTAACAGCAAAAATGGCAGGAAGACCTAGGGGACCCACAGTCAGTCCACATTTTTGCTCCCTCCGAGCTCCCTGCCAGGCAGTCCACATTTTTGCACCCTGCCGGCTCCTGGGAGCAAAAACAGGGACTCTCTGTGGGTCCCCCGAGGACTGCATTGGGAAACACTGCTGTAGAGTACTTACTCAGTATTGCTTCAGTATCTAATCCAATGCTTAAAGTACTAACTGTATAGAAAGATGCATGCTGTTTTAGTGGTTTGAAAGCCTCCACTCAGCTAGTAAATAAGCACATAAATGCAACATAAATGATTAATAAGCAGCGTTAGATTTGTCAGAACTAACGGCGCTCTCTGCGGAGCAGGACCGCTGCGTGGCCGCCCTTGCCCGGGTGGAGCGCACCGACTTCCTCTACCCCATGTTCATCGGAGAGGTGGCGCACGTCAGCGCTGAGATCACCTACACCTCCAAGCACTCGGTGGAGGTGCAGGTCAACGTGCTGGCGGAGAACATCCTGACCGGTGAGTGGGAACGAGCATTTGCCACGTCACTGCCATCTGCCGGGGGACACAGGGCACCGCGGGGGCAGCGTGTGGCTCAGCGGTTAAACACATGGACAGTTTAAGACCCGGCAGGATCCTCACTTTGGTGTCATAAAGGTACTTAGCCTGAGTTCCCCCAAGAGAAGCTTATAAGTACCTACAGATATAATAATCACACGGCTTAGCTGAGGCCTGGTTCTCGCAGGACAGGAATCGCAAGACCGTTTCCAGCAGGTTGTGGAGCGCGTGGCTAAAAAAATTACCAGTTGACAATTTCTACCATGAATTTGAGTTGTGCCTTTCTGAGGCTAAACCAGTTGAGAACCACTCGTTTATGGAATTTTCAGCACTTTTTATACAGATCCAACACTAGGTGGCATATTTATATGGTGGGATGTTGATAGATTTTGGGGATATGTGGTCTATAAAAGATATACTGTTTTTTCTGTTATTTAAACAGGTTAAATTCCTTGCCATGAAAAGTACGTTTTGACCCATATCAGCCTTTGCACACCAGAGTCCACCCTTCTCATAGTCTAATTTCACAAATTGCATTACTTTAACATTTAGCTGCCTGCTGGAAAATCGCTGCCAGTCACTGCAAAAAAATAGATTTCAGGGATACCTTTTAAGATGAAAATGCATGGAATAAAATCTTTGTCTACAGACGTACTGTCATTCTGGAAAATAACCACCAGATGGAGCTAGCGGGAAGGGAAAGTTTGCTAATTAATAGGCGCCCATAAAACTGTGCCCACTTCCGCGAATGAGCGGCCGAGAACCAAAAAAAAAACCTCCGTTATTATCACAGATCCGACACGGCTGTGACGACCGCTGATCTTGACTGTGTCTGAATATGAAATTTTTAGAATGGTGCTTGACAACTGTTTCGCCTGGGCGATCATCGTTCCTGCTACATTGCTGGGTGCAGATAAGATTTTTCCCTCATGGACGTGCTTCCCACATCCAAGGTAGCTGAGCACGTATGTCCAGTGCAGGGAGCTGGCATCCTGGGCTGGTAGTAGAGAATCTCTCGGCTCTGGTCAGCCATGGCACAGGTGCTGTTAAATGGTTTCCATTTTTGCTGATTTAAGGATATTTCCCAGTGTACCTTGGTGTTCAGGAAAACCAAGGCATTGCCATAAAGAGGCGTGTTTACTGGAGAGTGACAGAGTGCAGATTAAAAGCCTCAAACTCTTCCCCCCTATGGAGGCCCAGTCACATGGGCCTCACACCCCCGTGCGTATGGCATACTGGCACACTGAGGTCAGCGGCCGACTCTGGAGGCCCGGTCTCACCCCCACCCCGTGGGTGTCCCATCAGCCGCCTGGAAGATCATTATGGGAAAAGAAAAAAAAAAGGAAAATGGATATAAAGAGGAGAACGAGCGACAGAGAAGCAACGGAAGTATCCCTCAGAGCCTGTTGCCACGGGAACCATCTCTTTTTCCGTGGTAGAGGCTGGGCTGCTGGTGCGGGGGCTGAGCGGATAAATGAGTAACCCGGCGGTAAGCTTCCGAGACGTTGGGGGGAGGGGGGCAGCCTTCTGTTGCCATGGAGCGACATGTCCCCCCCCCCCCCCCCACACACACACCCAGCACCCACTTCCCAACCCCCACAAAGTTCATCAAGTTTATTTGAAATTTAATAGAAAGCATGTGGTTGCTGTTACGAGGCTTGACAGCTACAAGGACACGCATGGCAGTCTGCTGGAAGCAGTCGGCCTTTGGATGTGCACACAACTGTTACTGCCCAAGGCAACCCGCAGATACACTTAAAAACAGGACAAGCACTAACACATGTCATTCCTATAGATACCTTTTATCTCACCTTGTTGTCAAACCGCTTCTCTCAGGGTCGTGGTACCGTTTTATTTATACGCTTAGTTATACCCACAAGGAATGCAGAAGGGGAAAATAGATTTAATTTTTTTGTCCAATGACGGTCTTGTGCTGCTTGCACAGAGTGACTATATATACTGGTTCTCCACCACATGCTCCCAGTTTGCCTAATGAGCACCAGCGTTTGCAAGAAGCATTCTCGTGGACAAATGGACTTTACCAGTTTATAATGCACGGGTACCTGTCCGGGTGGTACTCCAGATAATCAGTGAAAAATCATAATGAACTTCCTTAGTTGTAGTACCAGCAATGGGATCTTCATTTGCAGTTCCTGAGCTCAGACAGGAGCCCAAACTATCATTAGGCACGACCGTACACGAGTGGCTTAGCGTGCACAGCTGGCAGAGTGCAGTGCATGCACTGGAGGGTATGTGTGAGGACGGGGTTCCCACTGGGCTTGTGATTTGTGTACCATCACATCCTGTCTGTGGGCCAGGAGCTCCTTCCACTGGATGTGGTCCAGGCTTTGTTAGAAAGTGGAGCAGTGGACCAAACACACCCTGGCACAGGCACTGCTTTCACAGCACATTGCCTTCACAAGGTTAGTGCCCCCCCCCCCCCCACTCGATTGTGACTCTACGCCGCCCCCTTTTCAGTGTAACATCACTCGTATGACTGACAATACAGGTATTTTCCTCGGCCAACATTTCCCTAAGAGCTCTGAAGTAGGCATAGGTGGATGGGGAGAGGCGATCATTCGACATTTCAGTCTTAATGGTTGTGATCTGTCGCATGCTGAGGGGGGCGGATCGAAGCTGACCCCAGTCTTTGCGAGATGTGCAGCTGTACCCACTTCGCGTCACATGTGGGCACGACGGAGACATCTGCAGCACCTATGTGTGGGCTGGCTGCCCCCCCCCAGCCAAGGCCGGGCGCTGTCAACCTAAGAACACTCATTACGGGTCGGAGACAGCGAGCTTTGTGATGCTGACAGTAAGTGCCGTGCTTGGCTGTGTGAGGCCGGCCATTTCAGCGTTAACGCATCCATAATTGGGATAATGATGGTGAGGCAGAGCAGCCGTAGTAGCAGCTGGTCTGGATCTTTTATTTAGCTAACCGGGGAAGCAGAAGAACACTGTGCTTTGTGTGAAGGAAGACCACGGCTCGCCTGGATTTCGGCTGGGGGCTTTTGGACTTAAAGCCATTTTTTAGTTTAAGGGTGTCTCCTGTGATGATGTCATAATGCCATGATGTCATAATGTGTAATAGTAGCTGGTCTGGATCTTTTATTTAGCTAACTGGGGAAGCTGAAGAACACTGTGTTGTGTATGGAGGCAGACCATGGCTTGCACAGTTTTCCGCAGGGGGTTTTTGCACCCAAAGTTATTTTTTTGTTTAAAGACATTTCTTGCGATGATGTCATAATGTTTTGATGTCATAATGCGTAGGAGCAGGCCAATCACAGGAGCTGATGCCAATCCCATAGTACAGAGTGAGACAGCATTTCCCAAAAGGCCCATGTTGTGTGCCTGGAGCTTCCATTTCCTTCTTTCTCTTAGTGTTCTCCTGTGCATTTTTCATGCTTTCATGTGTGTGATCTGCATCTCATCCACGCCTTGCTGCCCCACTCAGCCGCTTGACGGCATCTGTGTGCTGGGAGCAGGCATTATTTGCTGCTGTCGTGCTGGTTTAGTAGCTCTGCACCCAAATGGGATCTTCTGTCATCTGTGTCGTGGATATTTACCAATTCCAGAGCTTCAGCCCAGTGTTTGGATGCTCTGGCTATGGAATAGTTCATCCTGCTTGTATAACACTTCTGCCATCTGCACACACACAGACACAAACCCCATGTCCCCAGACAAAGGTCATTATGAATAAAACAATCTGTCACTCTGCTTCATCCTATTACTGGTGACAGGGGCAGAGTTGTTATGTAACAGTCTGTTCACCGTAATATTGCATCCTTAAGGTAGAATGATAATTAACTAAAAGTTAATTAGGGCCGCTCTCTTGTGATGGCTGGGTAGACTTCACATGCGATATGCTTCTGAGCAGAGGTCACACAGGACCCCAGCTGATTGGACAGGGTGGAGCCAAAGGCAGTCACATGCCCCCCACCCCCTCCCCCCACCCCACCCCACACGATCAGGTCACATCTCATCATCAGAGCCTCCATCACGTTCCATTGGGGTGCAGGGGGTGTGCTGACAGGCCCAGGGCAGCAAGGTTGCAACATGCAGGAAGTAGCGGGAGGGAATGGTGCAGGGTGCTCGTCGTTCACGATTCAGAGTGCATTTCTGACACGTGCACAAGTATCGCTGCAACCTCCAATTAACCATACTTCAGAACTCAGGTTTCTCCCTTAACATTTTACATTACATTTACATTTATATTACATTAACTTTTACATTTACCTTTTTTTCCAAAGCTACAGCACGTTTCTAGGCTGAACTTCTAATGTTCCAATTATTGACCAGTTACTAGTGCAAGCAGTATTGAAGCAAGAGCTGCACAACATCTTCCAAACAAAGCAAACAAAGAACATAACAAGCCGACAAAGTACAACGATATGAGCATTCAGAGAACATAGAGTGGTATAGGCTAGTGGAGGTGTTCCTGGAACAGATGGGTCTTGAGGCGTTTCTTGAAGGTGGAGAGGGAATCTGGTGACTGGATGTGGTTCAGTAGATCATTACACCACTGGGGAACCACAAATGAGAAAAGTTTGTAGTGAGACGTCTCACGTGGTGGAAGGAGCTCCAACCGGATGATGCTCCGCTGTCCGTTTCCTGCATGTCTGGCTTCTCGAGAACTCCTGAAAGCTCGAATTATCCCTAAACTCTGCTTTCTGTTTGTGTCTGTGGAAGAGATCCCTCTGGTTGGACCCTGAAAAGTCTGGCCTTTCACCGCACCCACTGCTTCTTTAAGGGAGGATGGGCAAAATTACAACATCGTCGGTGATTGGCTGTTGTGCTGGCGTTCAGTAAACCTCTGCTTGATAGGCGATAGGCCGTCGAGTTGCCTGTCTCCCTGCATTCTCTAAAACTGAGCAAACTTGGTTGATGGAGTTTTATAGTCTGTGTGTATCATCGTGATCGTCCTAATTTTTTATTGATAAAAAATCGAAATTGTTTTATGG